CAAAAATTTTTTTGAGAAATCTAAACATTCCAGAAAGTCAGATATGGTTTTGTTTTTCGAGAAAATCATAAAAAATTTGTGGTGGACCCGAGTGTATGTCTTGGTATCCCGAATGGCCTGAATATCACAGAGTATAGAAAGACAACAATTGATGGGAGAAATTGTGGTAATTAAAATCATATAACAGTTTTTATACCTTAACATTTTTATTTTCAGAGGATTTTTTGAATTACGCGTCAGCACGAGACAATGCTTCAGAATCAAGAAGATTTGAGTTTCAAGGAATCGACTGGGTTTTCATTTTGATCATTTTTTATTCTCGAAAAAGATTTGGCGGTGGAACGAGGTAGTAATGGGGTCGCAGCCCACGATCAGTCCCCATAACGTTAAGAGGGTCTCTCCCGCGTCGGATCACAATTTTGAGGCGTTTAGAATGACCTTCCAAAAAAGTTTTCAATTAGAAACTACAGAGAATGATCATTACATTTCGAGCTTAGATTTAGCTTTAAAACATTTTAAATTAAAGCCAAAATAAGAAACAATTGAATAGAATCAAATTTGGAATCGATTTATCACTTCATTGGATTCCCGATGTCCAAATGTGGGAGATGAAAACACATATTCTTGCGCAATGAAAATTTCAACATCATTAAACAGAGATCACAAAAACAAGAATTGAGAATATATCGAACAGTTTGGGTCCCGTATTGCCTTCCAACATTTTTTGAACAATAGTATCTGAATGAAATTGTTATTTTGTAGTTTTAAGGAGTTTAAAATTTCTCATGTCTCACAACAGTTCTCGCCGTTGAAAAATATCCCTCTTATTTCTGTAACATTCAATCCATTCGTGATTCCAAAACAAAGAGTTTCATCGAAAACAAAGTTTTCGTTATTAGAAAAATGGATATCTAGGGATTTCTGAAAATAGAAGCCTAAGTTAATTTGAGAAACTTAAATTACCTTCAATTTCGGAAATTCGCCACTGATTAAGTTTTTGTTATACTGAACAGTAATGCCAGTAGAACCTGTAAAATTGGATTTCCAATTTTTCAACTACAATTAAGAAAAAAAAAAGTACGAACCATCAGAAAAAACCACATATTCCAAATTATCGAAAAAATCGATAACTTCCAAATTTGTGTGAGCTATGAAAATACTTCCGAAAATCCATGACACATTTCTCAATTTATAAACATATTCCTCATCTCCATTTTTGACTTTAATATTTCCGATAATTCTTGAACAAGACGGATCGAAGTTTGACATTGAGAAGTTTTGAATTTCACAAACTTTCTGATTTTCTATATACACATCATCCGTAATCGGACAAATTTTTTCAATTAAAACTCCAACTTTACAGTAATCGCTGCTCATAAAATTGGACATTTCTTGTACAGTTACACAAAAATTTTGTAATGGCATGACACTTATATTGATATTTGGTAATTCGGATTGTGTATCAGAAATGTAGAAATTCTGAAATTTAGAATTTCAAAATTTCAGAAAATTCAAGTGCTCACTTTTAAGTTTGGCATGTTCAAATTTTCCAGTTTTTCACAACGTTCAATTCCTATTCCACAATTTGTATCCGTAAAGTTGGTCATTCCAATTTCAGTCATTTCTTCATTTTTTTTAATAACTACAAATGTGTCAACTTCTGAACTTGTGGAAAATTGCAAAACCGCAGAAACTTTTTTGGAGCCTACCGCATTCGATTTTTTGAATTCTCGCGAAAAATTTGAGATCCTTCAAATTGGTTTCTTGAACTATTAAAGATCCATATAAAATTTTGACATTTCGGAAAATGATTTTCAGCTCATTTTCAGACAAATTCGAGTTGCCGTCTATTATAAGATATGCACAAATGGTTGAGCAATTCGATGGAAATTTTTTGGAATTTTCAGAATCCAAACGATCGAAATCAAATATGCATTTCGAATTACATTTGGATTGGAAAAATAAATTTTCAGTGTGAATTAAATTTAATGTTAGGAAATAGAAAAGTATGAAAATTTTCATTTTAATATGATTAATTTGAGTTTCTTTGTAATAATATTTTGTTTTAAAAAACAGGTGAAAAAAATTGAGAAAATGATTAAAAATTGTGATTCAAAAATGTGACAAAAGCTGAAAATGAGCACCATAAGTCAAAAAATGTGATGTTCGAAATATTTTCATAAGTTCTGAAGTTTTAAAAAGTTTATCAAAACTTAAAAAATAGAAACTTAATCACCACACGGCTCAAAATTATTTTCATGGAAAAATAAAAATTTTAACATCAGTAAACAGAGATCACAAAAACAAGAATTGAGATAATATTGAAAACTTTGAGTCCTGTATTACCTTCCAATAATTTCGTCACAATGTTATCTGAATTAAATTGTCATTTTTGAATGTTCAATTTTCCAAATTTCCGATATCTCACCACAATTATCATCTTCAAAACGTATACCTCTTACTTTTGTAATATTCAATCCATTCATGACTCCAAAACAAAGATTTGGGTCGATAACGAAATTTTCATTATCCAAGAAATAGATCTTTCCGGCTTTCTGAAAATGAAAGTTTCCGTCAGTTTTGAGGGAAATTTTGTTTACTTTCAAACTTGGAAATTCAGCACTGACTAAATTTTTGTTAAACTCAACGGTAATCTCTATATTGTCTGTAAAATTCGATTTTAGATTCTTCAAATACATTCAAATGCGAAATATCGTACTAGGTGAACGAACTACATATTCTAAATTATCGAAAAAATCGATAACTTCCAAATTTGTGTGAGCTATAGAAATACTTCCATAAATCCATGAAAAATTTCTCAATTTATAAACATATGGCTCATCTCCGTTTTTGACTTTAACATCTCCAATAATTCTTGAACAGGATGTATCAAAATTCGATACTGAGAAATTTTGTATTTCACAAACTTTCTGATTTTCTAAATACAGATTATCCGAAATTGGGCAAAAATTTTCGATGAATCTTCCAATTTCATAATAATCGCTGCTTATAAAATTGGACATTTCTTGTACAGTTACACAAAAACTTTGTGATACCAAAGTTACTGTAACATTTGGTAATATGGACAGCGGATGGGTAATGTAGAAATTCTGAATTGTATCAAACTCAAACTTTAAAAAATTTGGAATGCTCACTTTCAAATTTGGGATGTTCAAAGTTTCCAGTTTTTCACAATCATAAATTCTTATCCCACAATTTGTGTCCGTTAGATTGGTCATTCCAATTTCAATTATTTCTTTATTTCTTTCAATAGCTATAGGCGTACTGAATTCTGAAATGGTTTTTTTATAAAATTTTAAAAATATTTTAATCCTTTTTGGGACCTACCGCATTCAATTTTTTGCATTCCAGCAAAAAATTTGAGATCTTTTAAATTGGTTTCATAAACTTTCAAAGATCCGTATAGAATTTTGACATTTTGGAAAATTATTTTCAGCTCTTTTTCAGACAAATTCGAGTTTCCATCTATTATAAGATATGCACAAATAGTTGAACAGTTCGATGGGAAATTTTTGGAATTTTCCGAATCCAAACGATCCAAATCAAAAATGCATTTCGAATTACATTTGGATTGAAAAAATATGTTTTCGGGGAAAACAACATTGAATTTTAAGAAAAAGAAAAATATCAAAATTTTCATGTCAATATATTGATTGAAGTTTTCTGTAGGAATATTTCGTAGCAAGGACAGGTGAAAAAATTGGGAAAAATGATTAAAAGTTGTGATTCGAAAATGTGACCAATATTGAAATTAAGAACCAAGAATATGAAATTCTGACTTTGGAGAAGTTTTCAATTAGATCTGAAAATTTGAAAATTTGTTAAAAAAGGAAGATTAATAACCACAAGATTTGCCATCAATTTCTGGAATTAATTGCTTCGTAGTGTTGAGTTCGCTTTTTAGACGATGGCAAAAATTTGAATTTAATGCGATTTGAGGATTATTTCCATGAAAAACCAGCATTCTGTAGACTTCATTTAGTGTTCGAATAACCTGAAAATAGTAAATTTAAACTCAAAAACAACTGAGAATCAAAAACGGAAAACAGGAAATGTTGAAATATGAATGAATGAAAACATAATTCAAACATTACCTTTAAATTTGGAAAACTTGCATTTATCAAGTATTTGTTGTTAAGAATGTATAAACTATACTCATCGTCTGAATATCAAAATTATATTCATTGCACTGGAAGACCCAAACCAAAAGGGAACTATTTTTACCTTCAAAATAAGCGACAAATTCCAATTTTTTAAAAAAGTCTATTGCTTCCAAACTTGTCCCATTTATCATAATCCTCCCATAAATCCAAGTTACATTTCCTAGTTTTTTTACATATTGCTCATCTCCAGGACCAACGAAAACGTTACCAATAACTCGTTGACAAGTTGTTTCGAAATTTTGTAAATTAAATTTCTGAATTTTACAAATCTTTTCTGGTAACTTCGAAACTTCCGTCTCCGAAACATTGCAATATTGAAATTTAACGGGATACATTTCCAAAATATCGCTATTTAGAAAATTTGTGACCTCTTCAATAGTTATGCACAGCTTATTTGTGAATCCAATAGACAAAACTGGTGGTTTGAAAACTTGATAAAAATTCTGAAATTTCAATTTTTTAATCTTCAAGTTTTCTTGGCATGTACAGTGGCGAACGTTAGTGAGTGTACCTTTATACTTTTGTTCATAACTTTGCTCTAACTTGTCCAATCATTGGAAACTTTTTTGTTAAATGTAGCTGGGTTTCCAACAAAACGTTGTGTAAGTGTTTTGAAACTCAATCAATTTTTGTGTTTTCTGAATCTTCACAGACGTGACGATGACTCCAGAAGAAAAAAAAATTTCCGTCAGAATTTTTTAAAAGATTGGCTTTGTGATGAAAAATGTTTGGTGTAGATCAAATATATGCCAAAAAAAATTTGAAGCGGTTTGGATCACTTGCTCTTGAGATGTGCTCACTGTAGCATAAAAGGTATGGTTCTGGAGTTTGGCTATAACTCGGCTCAAAATGATCCAAATTTGCTCAAATTTCGAGAGAATGTGTGGCTTTAATTGTTATACAAAATACATACAAAACTTTGTATATTGGGATAAAAAGTTTTTCATAAGTTTTCATTTTTATGTACCGAAGACACTTATGAAAAAAACATTTTGAGCCGAGTTATAGCCAAACTCCAGAACCATACCTTTTATGCTACAGTGAGCACATCTCAAGAGCAAGTGATCAAAACCGCTTCAAATTTTTTTCTGTATATATTTGATTCACGCTAAACATTTTTCATTACAAAGCCAATCTTTTAAAAAATTCTGACGGAAATTTTTTTTTCTTCTGGAGTCATCGTCACGTCTGTGAAGATTCAGAAGACACAAAAATTGATTGTTTCAAAAAACTTAAACAACGTTTTGTTGGAAACCCAGCTACATTTAACAAAAAAGTTTATAATGATTGGACAAGTTTGAGCAAAGTTATGAACAAAAGTATAGAGGGACACTCACTAACGTTCGCCACTGTACCTTTAAACTTGGAAGGTTTAGCTTCTCTAACTTAGGCAGATTATTCAACCAAATTTCACAGGAAGTTGATTTTAGGTTGGTCATCCCAATTTCAGTCATTTCATAGTTAGAGTGAAATGCAAAGCTACTATCGCTGTCTGTAAAAAAAATTGGCTGAAATTTTTCGGGAAATTTCTGAAATAAAAAAGGTATACCTGTACGGTATTCTACCGTGTTTTCTCTTTTAAAATCCTCTTTCCAAGTCTAAAGGAGAGAAATCTCCCCCGAACACACGTGCAAGAGGTGTGGATTACTGTATCCGCGCGCGAAACTGTGTGCGCGCCAAAACGCGTCTCCTCTCTCGGCAAATTCTCATCGTTTTCTTTAGTTTTCGCTGGTGTTCGCTCACGATTGGTGACGACCCGTTAAAGTGTGGCTCACTGGTTTTAAAGGTTTTCTAGTGATTTATTGTTGATTCAATAAATAGTGTTTAATAGAATACAGTGCGTTTTTGCTGTCTTCTCCTTTCAGGTTACATTGGTTTTTTGAGTGAATAGTGTTTCTTTAGTTTTTCAAATACATTACTTGGGGGCCGAAGGTTTTTCCGGGACTTTTTCGTTCTTTTGTGTGAATCGTCCACTTGATTAAGTTCTATTGCTTTTTTGCTCTTGTTTGCTTCGTTTCTATCAGTCTCTTTGTCGTTTTCACCCGTTTCTTTGCCGTTTTTATCGATTTTCACTGAGAAGGCGTTCTGTCCGGCCACCGGCAGCTTCTTGCCATATTCTCTTCGATTTTCGATCTCTTGTAAATTGAGAAGGCGTTCTGTCCGGGCACCGGCAGCTTCTAGCCATTTTTCTCAGTTTGTGGGAGTAAAATTAGCTCGATTAGCTAAGGATCGGAGGACATAGTACTGGAATCGACGTCGCGAGTGAGTGGAGAGGAGTGGTGAACGATTTGCCAGCGTGTGTGCAAGAAGAATCATCGAGTTTCGAAGGATTTTCAAGTCAAGAAGTGCAGAAAGTCGAGTTTTTCAAGGAAAAATCGATAATTTTCTGCTGAAGATTGCCAAAACAATTTTCACTTGGTTTTCGAGGGATTCTGTAAGCGTTCAGAGGAACAACTGAGGATTCTGAGAAGATTTCAATCGATTTTTGAGTGGAAAACTGAAAAAATTCGAGTTTTTCGACGAAAAATCGATATTTTACAGCTGAAAGTTTTCGTCAAAGGTTTCTTTCCGGATTTATTGAAGTTTATCGATTTTTGGTCTTCAATTGTGTGTCGAAAGAAGTTTTGCGAAGAAGGAAGTGTTTCGACGAAGAATTGCTAGCTTCAACAAGAATTCGTGGAATTTTGTGTCGAAAACTGACTTTTCGCTTGGAAATCAGTCAATCTTGCATCAATTGGTTCGGATTTGTGTCGGAGCTTGGAACTTTGCATCGGAAATAGCTTTTTGTTGCTAGTCATCGAGTTTCAAACCGAAGTGAACGAGTTTTCTGTTGGTGTATTCTGCTTAGAACGTTGAGTGTCTCGGATTTTGTCTTGGATTTTCTCGGAAGAAGTGTTTTAAAAGTCGGAAAGCTTCATTTTCACAAGTTCTCTAGTTCGTAGTATCAGTATCAGTTTGGAAACTAATTTCATCGTGTTCATACAGTAAAAATGTCGGTTTCGAAGGATTTCGTGCTCGATGATGATGGACGACGTGAGGACTTCTTGTCGAAGGATTCGTCAGCGTATTCTATGCGTGAAAATGTTTCTCTGGAACAAAAATTTGGGAAAATGATTCAAAAATACAGTTTTGAAAATCACAATGCAGTTCAACAGACTATTCAAGAATATTCAAAAGTTCACAAAGCTGTCAAGAAACGGAGCTCATAATTTGCTATCGCCTTTAATCAGATTGATCAACGAGAAAGACAACGACACTTTCAAGCAGATTGAAGGCCACACAGAGGTGATGAAGTGCCTTCGTGAAGCATGGCTAGAAGAAAGAAACTTCAGAGAAAGAAATGAAAAGTTTGTAAGGAACATTGGCGAGTGGATGCTTGACAAAGGTTTCAGCTCAGTTGAAGAACTCGACGAAGAATGGGATGCTGCGCGACTAACAGAATGTAAAATGCGTAGATATAAATGTATAGCAAAGTATAACACTATAGAGTTAGAGGCGGCGAGAGAAACAGAGAAGTATCAAACTGTGAAGTTCGAGCAGGTACAAAAGGAATGTGACGAGTTGAAGAGGAGAAACAGGATGCTGTTTCAACAACTAGAAGTTGCGCGTTCAGATATTCGCAAAATGACAGTACACCAAAAGTCTAAACATAAACTGTTTGTATCAGAAAAGAAAAGGAGTAGTGTTGGTTTTTCTGAGTACAATGCCCATTCGTTCGAACATATCGAAAAGAAAACATCGTCACAAGTTGAGTTAAAGATATCTGACCCAGAAGCTGAAAAAACAGTCCCAGCTGGAGTGAAATCAGAAGAAGAAGTCTGTGATCTGAATGTTGAAAATGGATTTTTGAGTAATGGACAGTATGAAAATGATACAATGGTTGTAAGAGAGGATTCTACCGATGACAAGGTAGATGAATCTGTGTGTATGGATATAAAAGAAGAATCTGCAGAAGGAAATGTGGAGGAATCGAGAGTCGTGTTGTGTAGTGGGGAACAAAAGTCTGACGAGTTTCAGAGATTTCGCACGGAAAGCACACATGATAACATCAAGGAATCCAAGGAGATTGAGTTAGTCGCAGATACTAAACGATCGAATCTCAAAGTGTATCAAAATCTGGAAAATGTTCAAAACAAAGGAATAGGTTTTCAAAATGTGATCGAAAAGTTCGATATTCTGGAAAATCCCAGTATGGATCTAAAGGAGCAGCATCACGAAATAAGTACTGTATCAGAGCTTCCAAGAGTAATCAAAGGTCAAAGAACTGTATCCGAGATCATGGTAGAAACAAACTCAGAAAATTCAGAAGAGAAGGAAGAAAGCAATGTACAGGACAAGAAAGCTAATGACTTGAGGGAAAGTCAAGGTCCCCCGATGAGATTGCTACCAAAGTCTTCAAATTTGGATCAATATGAGAACAAAAATTGCGTCCTCTTTAAAAGTGATACACCCAATAAGGATCCCATATTGGTTTCTGGGAAATCGCCACAATTGGAAAACCAGGACCGGAAAAAGGCCGGAGAGGGTGCCTGTGGCTCTGTTTTTGAGACAAGGACCATTCACGGAGTTCAGGAGGAACCGTGGCCACGGAAAGATCCACCACCACTGTTTCAGTCAAATGATACTATTGAGTCTCAAGACAACTCGGATCAAGTGCGAGTTCTCCTGCACAGAGACTTTCGACCACGAGAGGATCCACCACAACCACAAATGTCTCAGTCGAAGGATAAAGATCAATTGAAAACTTGCTTGCATCAAGAGTTTCGGCCAAGAAAAGATCCACCCCGAATGTGTCTACATGATACTAGGGGATACGAGTTTCAACCAGAGAAGTTTGAAGTTCACCTGCATCATGAGTTCCGACCAAGGAAGGATCCACCATGTCGAGACCATTATCACAACATGCCACCATGTCATTATGGTTCAAATACGGATTCATGGTCCAATTTCGTTATTGATGTGCACTGATGAGCTAAGTACACCTACAGCCATCACCCTGACTAAATTTCGTTGATTTTCTAATTTCTTATTATTGTTACAATCTTGCCAAATGTTCTCCCCGCCTACCTCATATTTTCTAAATACCCCAGGTTCTTATTCTTTTAAATTTTACCCTTTCTTGCCATCCCATACCCCACCCATATGAGTTTTAAGTAGTTGTTATTCTTTTAAGTTTTCTAGGTCCCGTCTACCCATCCCATGTTTTCATTAATTGTGATTTTGTGCCCTTTAATCATTGAGCTGAGGCAATCACCATTTTCACTCTTGCCACGTACGGGGACTCGAAAATGGACGAAGATGTACGGTATTCTACCGTGTTTTCTCTTTTAAAATCCTCTTTCCAAGTCTAAAGGAGAGAAATCTCCCCCGAACACACGTGCAAGAGGTGTGGATTACTGTATCCGCGCGCGAAACTGTGTGCGCGCCAAAACGCGTCTCCTCTCTCGGCAAATTCTCATCGTTTTCTTTAGTTTTCGCTGGTGTTCGCTCACGATTGGTGACGACCCGTTAAAGTGTGGCTCACTGGTTTTAAAGGTTTTCTAGTGATTTATTGTTGATTCAATAAATAGTGTTTAATAGAATACAGTGTGTTTTTGCTGTCTTCTCCTTTCAGGTTACATTGGTTTTTTGAGTGAATAGTGTTTCTTTAGTTTTTCAAATACATTACTTACCACATTCCAAAGTCTCCAGTCCTTCCAGAAATTTGGCATTTTTAAAATCGGTTCTTAAAATGTTCAAATAACCATAAAGAACTTTAATATTTCTGAAAATATTTGATGACTGTTTTTCAGAAACATTCGAATTTCCATCGATCATTAAATAAGCGCAAACTTCTGTGCAGTTTGTTGGAAACTTTTTAATGGATTTCGAATTCATGTGATAGGGCTCAAATGTGCAATTGTAGTCTGTAAAATTGGTTTTTTAATCTAAAAATCTCAAATTCTGAAATGTCAAATTACCACATCTATCCTAAAAAAATTCAAACTCGGAAGTTTTCAATTCCTGGGAGCCGCTAATTTTATTGTCTCTGATTTGAAGGAAATAAAAAATAAATTCGTGAAAAAATAAAGTATTTTCATGTATTCTGAAAACTGGACCTGACTCAAATGGGATAGAAAAACAATTTCTATTTGGGTTTTTTTCCCTGGGCCATGTGAAAAAATAAATTGGTAAATGGGAAATTATATTTTTGATTAAAGGTGAAGGGACATGAAAAAAATTATTTTCTCGAAATTCCGTTTACATACGCCCCTCGAGGAGTTGAACTTGTGAGGGCGAGGATTGAGGGTGCGGCGCCGCTACTGACTGAGCTACACGGGCAAAGAGAAAGCGGCCGTCGGATTGCATACATAAAGGCGAGGACGACAGCTGTACGCAGAGTGACATTAAGCGTTGTACACCGTCACGGTAGAATGCATACTCTGGCCCCGAAAATCCCCCGTAAAATCTCCTGTCCCCCCACCTTTAAAGCAAAAATTGTTTATACATAAAAGGCAGAATTAAGAGTTTCAGAATTAAAAATGGGGAATTTCGCGATTAGAATCTAGGCTCCGCGTCACTCCGAAACCGCGACACTTCGAAACCGGTCATTTCGAAAGCGTGCTAATACAGGCGAATGAATAAATTTCAGACTACAAAAACAATTTCAGGGTTCTCAAATATGCTTTTTCTAATAGAATAAATTCTGAAATCTAAAAATTCAAAAATTTTCTTCTTTTGAGAACATCAAATTTTGGATTTTTTTTAGATTTCAGAATGTATTCTTTCAGAAAAAGCATATTTGAAAACCCTGAAATTGTTTTTGTAGTCTGAAAGCTATCCGGTGGCGTGTTTGGCNGCGGTTTAGAAATGGCTGGTTNTNNAGTGTNNCGGTTTAGAAGTGACGCGGAGCCCAGGATCTTTCAATATTCAAAATTTTCGGAGATTTAGAAATCCGGAAATTCGAAAATTAGAAAAATTAGAAAATTGGAAACTTTTAAACTAAGTGATTCTAAATTTCATAACTTTTTTTTCTAAATTTCTAAATTTCATTTCAGGTGTTCGGTAGGTCCGTTTTTCAGAACTTTGCATTTTCCAGACTTTTCGAAGAACAAAAAACGTTTTCAATTCAACTTTCAGAATTTTAAGAATTTTGTTTTTTAAAAAAATCCAGGAATCCAGTCTATAATATTTTAGAATTTCAGGCCACCCAACCAAATTTTCAGACTTTCAGGCTTTCAGACTAATTCGAACATTTAGAAAATTGAGCACGTTTTCCATATTTTCAATTTTTGATAGTTCAACATTTTTCAGAATAAAACATTTCATGAAATTTCATGAATGTAGCTAATCAGTCCACCTTTTCAGGTTTTTAGAATCCCGATTTTTGATCTTGAAAGAATTTTCGACTTTCAATTTTTTAGAACTCCAACAATATGCACACTCTTCATTATTTTCTAATTTTATATGTTTCAAATTTCAGAATTTTTAAATTTTTAAAATAATCTGAAAACAGGAAGTCCATTCTTCAGAATTTCCTAGTCTCAGAATTTTAGATTCTTTCAGGTTTTTAAAAGAATTAAACAGTTGGAAAACTTGACATGTATGGTGATTTTTAAGATTTTTAGGACTCAGTTTTTCAGATTTTCGAGAGTTCAGGTTCTCAAATTTCGTAATTGGAAAAATTTGTTTGACTATCGACTTATCGAAAATATCTATTTTTAGATGTTTTGAATTTGAGAATTAAAAAAAAACTCTGAAAACAGGAAGTCCATTTTTTAGAATTTTCTAGTCTCAGAATTCCAAATTTTGAGAACTCTTAAAGTTCTTATTTTCATCACTTCCCTTTTTCAGCTACTCAGAAATCCTGTTTTTCATATCTCAATTCTTTTTAATGATGTTTTCTTTTTCAGCTTTCGTTCCAGTAAATATTGTCCCATTATTTTTTTGCAATTTCTGAGAAAATTAGAAAACATAACTGAATAAAAAAATTCCGGAATTCGAAAATCCCTTTTGCTAGCATTGATTCAATTTTTTTTAATGCATTTTGTTCCCCAGAATTTGTTTTGTGTCTTTTTTATTATTTACTTGATTTGAATCAGAACAAAAAATAAGGAAATTTTTTCCGGTATGTGTCATAAAAATTTTTTCTCATGAAGTTTTGAGAACTTCAAAATTTTGTGAGACCGAAAAAAAGTGAAAAAATTGAGTCATGGATTATTTAATGAATTGTTTAGGAGTAGTTTTTTGGAATGAAACTTTTAATTTTTGAGGATTTTCTAAACATTTGCGTATAATTTATATATTCTTATATATATTTTTTTAATTTCAGAACATTTCTGAAATGGACTCGCTTATCAATTTTCTGTGCGTTTTCGGGATGGTCGGATGTGTAATTACAATCGCACTAAATATAAATTTAGTGATTCGGACGTTTTCGTAAGTATAAAAAATTATAATTTTTAGATTTTTTGAATTCTTCAAAATTTCTTGATTTGCTGAAAATTCTAAATTCCTAAACTTCGGAATCGTTGGAAGTCTTTAAATTCGAATCTCTGAAATTCGAATTTTGAATCTCTGGAATTCGGGAATTTTCCGAATTTCGACTTCCTGGGCATTCTGAACTGCTGGAGTTCTTAGAAAACCCTGAAGTTCCGAATTTCCAAATCCCTTGATATTTCTGAATTCCTGAACTTCCAAATTTTTCCAGAAACAAATCAAAGCAAAACGACGAAATGCGACTTTTCTACTACCGATTCGTCCTGGATATATGTTTTGGGTCCTGTCGTAAGTTTCAATTTTTTTTAATTTTTCAAACAGCCCAACTTTCCAGTATTCCCTTCTCTTCTCTACCTTTTTCTCTACGTCAACTTCCCGGAAACATTTGAGCCCTACCGTAATCTTATCGTAACGTTATCCCTTCCCTGGTCTAATTTGGCAGCCGCGCGGTCTATAGTTGCTTTGTCTATAACCACTGATCGAGTTCTAGCTGCTTACTTTCCAATCGCCTACCGTACTGGAAAATTTGTAATGTCCATGTGGATTATTTTGACGGTTTCTGTTGGATTTGGGTTATCGGAAGAATTGGTGCTCTTCGAATTCTGCGGTTATGAATTAAATGTTCCAGTTGGGTGTCGAGTGTTGGGATGTGCAGTGAATCGGTGCTTCTACAGATTTTGGACACTTCATAAAACTGTAAGATACTTTCCCTTGTTTCAAACTTACCAGCAAGTCTCTAGCGCTTCGAACATCAGTTCTATTATAGCACATTTCTATAATAATCTCTCATTTCAGACAATTTTCCTCACACTCGCAATTTTATCAATCCTACTTTCAATCCGATTACTGTTATGGTTCAACGATAAGAATGCCACAAAGAATAGCCAAATTACCAAGGCCAACCGTTTGGCACTTTTGGATACTGTAGTTGTGTTGATTTTTGATTTTTCGCCCTCGTTATTGGGAAGTTTGTCTATGACTGCCTCCTTCTTTTCGTTCGAGGTGAGAATTTAAACTTTTTAAAAATTTCTAACTTCGTTTTTAGGTCGTTGGTCCGTATATTGGAGTGTGCAAAGCTACGGGATGTGCAATCGAAGCAATTATAGTGTCAACGTTTTTGATCAGTCGAAAACCAAAACAATTGAAGAAAATTATAGTCGGGAAGGCTTCCATGTCGACTAAAAACACATTTTCAGTACATACGAAATAAATTTTGATTTTTTTTTTCGAATTGTTTTTGAAATTTCAACTCACATTCAGATATTTTTTTTTGATTCCACAGTGAACTCTGCCACTAAAAAATTGAATATTCTATATACAGAACCTGTCAATCAGATGTACAAAAACGTGTTGCTCAGTTGATTTTGACCATTTTCAGGAGTCTGAAGCTCGACACCCCCTTTTTCTGGTTTTTGAACGGAACATACGGAGTCTTTCAGAAATCAGCTGATAGCTGAAAAACTAGGAACTTTCAACAAACTCTGTGAATGCAAATTTGCCAATCTAGGTTTATTTTATACCCTCCAAAGTTTCAAAGTGATCGGAAACTGGACAGCCGAGCACCAGACTCCTGAAATTTCCAACTAGTCATTTCGCAACCAGTCGTCTCATAACTCTACGTCACTCTGCCACCCTCTTGGCTAAAAGCTTCCGTTTGCCCATCTTATGCCCTCTTCTCAATGCTAGCTGATTGGCATCTATTGTGAATAAAAATGAAAATTTTGAACCCATACAGAAATTTAAAATAGAAAGTGTCTAAACTCAAAGAACCGAAAATTGGGTCGTTAAAAAATGAATAACAACAAAAAAACACATATCAATACGGGGAATGAAAACACAGAGAATATGAGAACGTAATATTCGTAGAACCTGATTTTGAGAAAAATCTATAAAACTCGGACTGAAGAAAACAGATTTCTCAGAACCTCATAATCTCAGATTTACAGAAAGTCATTTTCAGAATTCTTGAACCTCAGAATCGCAAAAATCAGGAATCTTTTGCTCAAATCTCAGAACCTCAGGATCTCAGAATGAATCTATATTTGTTTTTCTGTATATCTATTTATCCAGATGTTTTAGATTTCATTTTCCCAATTTTCTCCCAATCAGTGAGATAACAAGGAAATTACTGTTATTGTTCAAATCACGAAAATCCAATTTTCCCAAATTTTCCCCGTTCCAATTTGTTCGAACAATAGAAAAACAATATAAATCAGATCAGAAAATTTTTATGTGTCATAATAAGTTTTTCCTCTTCCTGGTTTTTTCTCACGATTAGGAGTTGAGCAATAGTTTTGTTCTTGGTGGATCGTGTGATTTTTTGAAAAATCTAACTTTTTTTTTGAATCATCCATATTTACACTTCTCAATTTTTAGGCTAGAATCTCATTCTTCTCAAACTGGATTCTCTATTTAACATGGATTCGATAATTTGTATGGTGTGCTTATGGGGAATCGCCTGTGCGATAGTCACAACATCAGTGAACATAAAATTGATAACTGGAATCATGTCGTGAGTTATTTTTCGTTGAAAATTTATGTTTTAAAGGTGGGGGGACATGAAAAAAATAATGTTCTCGAAATTCCGTTCAAAGATGCCCCTCGAGGAGTTGAACTTGTGAGGGCGAAGAAGAGGGTGCGGCGCCACTACCGACTGAGCCACGCGGGTAAAGAGAAAGAGCACGCGCGATTGCATACATAAAGGCGAGGACGACAGCTGTACGCAGAGTGACATTAAGCGTTGTACACCGTGACGGTAGAATGCATACTCTAACTACAAAAAAACTACGGAAAATCTCCTGTCCCCCCACCTTTAAATCTGAAACTGTGATTCGAAGTGAAAAAATTAAATAGTTTCAGAAATAAATCTAAGAAAAACGACGAAATGCGATTGTTCTACTGCCGATTTATCATCGATATATGTTTTGGGATCAGTTGTAAGTTTGGAAATAAATTTTAGAATATTCTGGATTTCCTGATTTTCAAACTTTTGAAACCCCTGAAATGTCTGTGATTTCTTGATTTTTCCTATACTTTCTAAAATTCCATAGTTTTTGAACTTCTGAGATTTAGAAATGTTTGGAGTTTCAGAAAATTTTGAAGAGTTTGATTCTCCTGATGCTTTAATTTTTTTGAATCAATTACAGTATTCACTTCCGTCCTGATTACATTGCTCTCTATAAGAGCTCCAGACCTGATTCAAGATTATCGTTCGATCATCATTTTTCATTCTCTTCCCTGGTCTAATTTAGCTGCCTGCCGATCTACAATCGCCTTGTCTATAACGGCCGATCGAGTTCTAGCCGCATATTTTCCAATCGCCTACCGTACTGGAAAATTTATGATTCCCGCGTGGCTTATTATAACGTCTTCAATTGCATTCGCACTATCCGAAGTAATCGTGCTCTTTGGATGTTGCTCATATGATTTTGTAGTTCCTGTAAACTGTAAAGTTTTTGGATGCGCCGTCAATAAATGTTTTTACAGTTTTTGGACGATTCACAAATCTGTAAGTTCTGATTCTAGACATATCCAGGCATTTTTTTCATAAATTTCAATTTTCCAGGTCATTTTTCTTACGATTTTCGTTTTATCAAGTTTTCTATCCGTTAGATTATTATTTTACAAAAGCTCAAAGCATACGACTGCAAACAGTCAAATTACAAAGGTACTATTTTTGGTCATTTTTTTAAAGTTTATAATTTTCCAGGCCAACCGTTTGGCACTTTTGGATACTGTAGTTGTGTTGATTTTTGATTTTTTGCCCTCGTTTTTGGGAAGTTTGTCTATGACTACTAGCTTCTTCAATTTCGAGGTGAGATTATAAAAATTATAATTGATTTTCTGAAAATCACTTTTCAGGTAATTGGTCCATATATTGCTGTAGCAAAAATCACCGGATGCGCAATTGAAGCAATTATAGTAGCTGTATTTTTGATTGCGAAAAAACCAAAGCAGCTAAAAAGCATTACAGTAAATGGCAGGAAAGTGACAGTTGTGAATCATTCTACAAAACAAACAACTTCGACTTTTCATAAATGATTTTTTTAAAATTAAAATACTTATTTTTTGATTTTTCAATTTTCTATAACTTTTAATTTAATTAGAATTTTGAAGAACAGGTTCATCAAAAAAAGTAAAGTCGTTTGAATTTCAGACTCTCACCTCTCTCAAAATTTGAAGTTCTAAAAATCGTAAAATTTCAATTTGTAGAATCTTTTCGACCCATTTTTGATCTTTTCCGTTCAGTGAAAGCTACCGTAATCACTCTAATAGGATGCCTCCGAAAAAACTTTTAACTTTGAGCTCATATATCAAATTTCCTGTGAAAGATTTCAAAAAAGGTCAATTGACAAAATTTTACTGATACTATGATAAATATTTATAAGTTGACAACTTTTTGATATCATTCTTATAATAAATAAATGAAGTCGCGTCTCTTTCTCTGTGGTTTTGTCCGCACGTTTTGAAAAGCTTGAAAATTAAATATAATTTGACGTGACCTTAAAAAAAGAAAGAGGAGCGAAGCGACGATAAAGCCAAAACTAGGTCAAATCGCGCCGAAGGCGCACCAGCCAGCTGAAGCCCCGGAGGCGCGGCAAACTGGCTGGTCATTCACAAGAACCGAGATAAATCAGCTATAATTTGACAGTTGATTTCATTTCTCTCAGTTTTTTTCGAGGGTACTACGTGTTAGAACTTTTTTTTAAAATAGAACTGCTACAAAATAGAACTGCGTGAAATAGAAAAGAGCGGAATAGAACTAAGCGAAATAGAACTGCTACAAAATAGAACTCGTTTTTTTCGAAAAGGGGGTCATATCCGACATTGAATCGATCGGAATTTGACACGAATTGAACCTAACTGGCAGAAAATGTGTTTTTCAGATTGATTTTTTTCATCTGGAATAAGCTATAACTTGACTTGGGTAGTTCTATTTTGTAGCAGTTCTATTTCGCTCAGTTCTATTTCGCTCTTTTCTATTTCACGCATTTTTATTCCGTGGCAGTACTATTTTGTAGCAGTTCTATTTTTAAAAATTCTAACACGCCGTACCCTTTTTTTTTCAAATTTCAGAGTTAAAAATTTTGAAAATTCTGGGGGTGCATAATTCAGACTGAAAATAAGAAAACGTTGAAGATTCAGAATAAAAACAAGAAGAAATCAACTTATCTGGAGCTGGAGCACTGGAGCTCTGGAGCTAGAGCGAGCAGGCAGGTGCCATTAGCATATAAAAGAGGAGGAACTGGATAAGGAGCAAGAGGAAATGTTGGTGGAGGATCTAAAAACAAGAATGATGTTTCGAAGAAATCTGCAGTGGAATTCAAGATAATTTTTTCAACTCCTGGAACTGAAATCAGACAATTCATGCGATGTGGTCAACAGGAGCAGCACCTTGGTTGAGTTGCAAGTGAAGTCGAAAGGAAAACCAATCAAAAGATTCTGATTTTTTCTTTATGAAAATAAAAATGCACACAAAATTAACAAAAAAAAGTTAATATCAATTTTCGAATCCAAATTTTCTTTTGCCATTAAAAGTCCTAAACGTTCAGAAACATTTTTCAAGCCATATAAATTTTCCAATTGTTCTGAAATAAATTCAATTTAATAAAATATTATAATTTCCAAAATCACCACAAGTTTTCCCATCGATAGTTGGGACTTGTTTGATCGTATTCATCCCTTTTTGACTTTTCGTACAAATTTCCGGATTAAAAGTTAATGATTCGTTGTTTTGAACGAATTGAAAAGGACTGGAACCGCCGATAACAGTCTGAAATTTTGCGAAACTTCAGATTTGAATTATGAAATTTTAAAAAATTACCATCAAACTTGGGAAACTTGCACTTGATAATTTTTGATTGTTGTAAATAAATATTGCTGGACTAGAATTGTGAATATTGGATTTTGCTGGAAGAAATACATTTTGAAGGTGGTACAGTTAGCGTAAAGCCTGTATCAGAAGGACCCCTTTAATAGAAGGGCCTTCAGAAGATAGCATGAAACAATAGAAGGACCGGTCCTTCTAATACAGGTTTCAAGGTTCAATTGAATGTTTTATAAAGTTTATACAATTCTAGAAAGGGAAATGATCAGTTTCGAAATGTCCTGGAGCCAAAAAAAATCATTTTTAAATGAATAACTTCCAAAAAAAAATACATCTCACCATCCAAAGAAACAACATGCTCCAAACTGTCCAAAAAGTCAATCGTCTCTAATTTCGTTCCATTTATCACTAGCTCTCCATAAATCCATTTGATATTATTCAATTTTCCAACCAACAACTCATCTCCCTCATTCACTAAAACGGTCCCAAAAACTCTTTGACACTTTGGATTGAAATTCGTCAAATCGAAATTATCGATTTTACACAATTTTTGATCTTCAATGGAAGTCTGATTAAAATCACAAATCGATGCAGAAATCATATCATGTTCGAAAATTTGTGCATAAAACATATTGTTTGTTTCTTGAATGGTTAGACAAAAGTTTGGAGAATTGTTCGTGATAACAATGCTCAATCGATCAGTTGTAAGAAAGTAGAGGAACTGAAATGTGCTTTTTTGCTGTCAAAATAAAAGCTCAATGGAGCGAACCTGAAAATTTGGTAATCCCAATTTTTCCATTTTAGGGTTAAAACTCAAATTTATACCGCAAGAACTCCTTGAAGACTTTCGATTCCAATTTCAGTGATATATTTGTTGGATTGAATGACTAAATTATCATTGTAATCTGGAATTTTCAAAGTTAGAGGTTTCAAATTTGGAATACTTTACTCACTACATTCCAGAGACTCCAAACCTTCTAAGAATTTCAAATTAGTAAAGTTTGTATTCATTACATGTACAAATCCGAATAAATTTCGCATATTTTGAAAAATTCCAGACAATTCGTTGTCTGAAACATCTGTGGACTCATCAAAAAGCAAATATGCGCATACTGTTTCGCAACTTCTTGGAAATAACTTCACAGTTTCAGAATTCACATGTCGAGGTTCGAAAACACATGCGGGGTCTGAAAATTATATATTTTTAATACTTTTTTTTATATTTTACCGCATTTTTCAATAAAAATGTTAACTTCAAAAATATCGTTGTTCTGTGCAAAAATATGATTGAGAACAATGAAAAATATTGATGAATGAGAAAATAGCAGTTTCATTTTGTTTAAAAGACTTTGGTACAAAAAACTTGCGAACCAGGCATGAAAAGATTAACACATGCTGTCAGAGATTAAAAACTGTGAGACTACAGGTTATTCAATAGTTTCGTAAACACAGAAAATATAATTTTAGGTCCATCGGAGTTCATAAAATGTCCACAAATTTTTAAGGGTTGGGATTTTGGGAACACGGTCCTGCAATTGTGTTTTTCCTGGATCAAAATGACTTGCTTAAAGGAGGCCAGACACCAAAAAAAAAGTTTGCCTGATATGTTGCATAGAGAATTCCCATGAGGAGTTGAACTCATGACAGGCAGCTCAGGGGTACATCGCCGCTACCGGCTGAGCTACGGGGGCGCGAAGGTGCCTGATGACCGATGGTCTACATAAGCGCGGCGCGATTTCGTCCCCCGAACTGTCCCCCGAAATTTTTGCTGTCTCGCCTCCTTTAATCATAATAGCAAGTTTTAATTTTTCCCAACATGATTTTCGGAGAACCTATTTGGATCATGTGACATACAGTAACGGTGAATATATAAGATATACAAAAACATTTTTTCAGTTGATTTTGAGCCATTTTGATCAGTTTTAAGAGTCTGGAACTCAGATGTCAAGTTTCCAACCATCCTGAAATTTTTGGAAGATGTAGAACAGACCTAGATTGAAAGATTTGCATTCACGGAATCTTTTGAAAAATCTTAGTTTTTCAGATAATTGCCGATTTCTGGAAGACACCTGATACTGATAACGTGAAAAAAGCAGGTGTCTTTCGGATATCAGCAAATAGCTGTAAAACTAGGAGTTTTCCAAAACTCCTGTGCATGCAAACTCTTTAAAGATGAGGAGACATGAAAAAAAAATAATGTTCTCGAAATTCCGTCTAAATACGCAACTCGAGGAGTTGAACTCATGATGGGCAGCTCAGGGGTAGAGCGCCGCTACCGACTGAGCCACGCGGACGAAGAGAAAGCGGGTGCCCGATTGTAAACATAAGGGTGAGGACGACCGCTGTACGCAGAGTGACATTAAGCGTTGTACACCGTTACGGTAAAATGCATACCCTGGCTACAAAAATCCTACGAAAAATCTCCTGTCACCCCACCTTTAATCTAGGTCTATTTACATCTTCCAGAATTTTCAGAACGGTCGAAAACTTGGCAGCCGAGATCCAGACTCCTGAGAATGGTCCAAATGCCCGAGAAGCCAATGGAAAATATGTTTTTCTATATCTTATTGATTGGTACTGCATGTTTTTTCCAATCATTCCAGAAGTATGTCGTTCGATCATGCAAACAAATTCACAAAAATGAACAAAGTCTCATCTCATCCAATTATTATTTTGGTCTGATAGTGAAATAAAAAAGGTTAGAGAGAAGTGGATGCCGAAGTGTAATCAAAATATCGAAGTGCAAAACAAAATAAGGTGGATGCGCACACACAATTTTTCTGCGTCTCCAACTTTTTTTCCCAGACAACGATAATATTGATGCTGATCTGCGACGTTCTGAATTCAAAAGATCAGAAGCACTGTGTCATTCATTTCGTCATGCTATGCCACAAAAACCGTCGTATTATTCCAATTTTTACTTTTATGCTGTATTATTGTGTTGGTATATGCCGTTAGTTCATGCGAACCCAGACTTCACAAAGATGAACAAAGACTTGCATCCATCCAAACATTGATGTTTATCTCCGACGTTCAGGATTCAAAAGCCAGGCGGTTCGGGAAGCACTCTGTCTTTCATTCCGTCACAATGCGCTATGCCACTAAAACCGTCTCATTATTCCTTTGTGTACTTCTATTTTGTGTTGGTTTATTATGTTGGAACCGGATGGGTACCTAGTTTTTTTTGTCGCGAAAAATAGTTATGAACATTTTCAGGTTATTTCAACAAATATGAATTTCAACCTAGCAGTCACTGCTATTTACCAGCTTGGAACCAGATATACACAAATACTGTTACCGGTTCTTTGTTGAATACCTTTTCTCAGTGGATATGGATGAAATTGGAACTTTCGAAAGAAGTAAGAGTTTGGAAATGAATTTGAAAAATAAAGAAATATACTTCAGAACAACCAAAACTACACATCTATCAATATCTTGGGAGCCTATGTCTACCCTGACCAAATTTCCATATCTCTAACTTCTCAGTATACAGTTCAACAAAATCTATTCTGTCGTTACTATGACTGTAAACGGACTGAAATTCCTGAAATCTCATATCGAAGTGTTGTTTTTCCGGAATCCGTTTTACATTGTCCTAGAAGAATCGGAGCTGAGTTTGTGTCAATTTCCAGAAGCTTGGATGATGAAGAAGAAATTCCAGAACCTGTTAGGTTAACGTTCAGGTCGTTTGAAAGTGAGTTAATGGGTTTTATTCGGGAAATAAATCAAATTATTTGATCGTTATCTGGACAGGTCATTTTTTCATTTTCCTTTTTTGAATCGTACTCTAATTTGTCCTAATTTATAGACCCATTACACGATCTTACTGTCTGCGTAGCTCCGTTGTATGGTAACGAGTCAAAATGGCTTCAAATCGTGGAATTTGTGGAGCATATGAAGCTGGAGGTAATACTGGAAGTAATACTTCTGAATATTGAACGAACTGTTTTTTTTTCAGGGCGCAGCTTTTGTGTATTTTTATGTGGGAGTAATATCAGATTATGATCGTAAAATATTGACTGACTATGTTCGAACCGGAGATGTAGAAGTGATTGATCTACACGACAAATATGAAAGACCCTATTACGCATGGCACCTAATTACTATTCAGGTGAGAAGATTACATATTCAATTACAGGGAAATTAAAATTTTAGGACTGCCATCTGCGTGCTAAGTATCACTCTAAATGGGTGTCCTTTTTGGATCTAGATGAAAGAATATCAGGAACTAAAAATCAAAGTCTTATCGAACTTCTAAATGGACAAGATTCCAATGTTGGGGAGATTCAAATTCCAGTTTTGAATATAGTCAAATATGATGACATGCCAGAAGAATTTGATAACGTTGTAAAGTTAAAAGAGGATATGATGTTCCGGAAGTGGACAGATTCGATTGATCCAACTTGGAATGCATCGAAAGCTATAGTTAAGCCAGAAAAGGTATGAGTTGCAAGTACCGTATTACCTCTAATATAACGTCATCTTGCAATTTAAAAACTTCCTATCCTTAACCCTAGTAGTCCGATCACGATCTTAAGTCGATTTCCGTACCTTCTTCCGCTTCCTTATACAGCCTATTTTTGGATTTATATCCTGCCCTTTCTGTTTTCCTTATCTTTAAGTTATTGTCTTATTTTTGTCACAGCGTACTCCACAGCATCTATTCTCAATCTATTGAACACATCGCTTCGGTAACACCCATAATCGGTGACATCGAAATTCGTCGAGGAAGATGATCCCACGCTCAATTTTATTTTCCAGTATTGAAAATAATACATGGGAGTGTCTTTTATAGGATCGGTGGCGTTCTACTAGGGATAATACGGCACACATCCTGATTTTTATCTGAGCTTCGCCTGTTCGAAAAGGAATGCGAACTACAGACAAAGTACGAAACTATGAGATAGAAATCTTTCTTCCCGATCTTTTGAATCGGAAAAAAATGTCTGTTGCATGTATTTTTATATGTCGGAATCATGTTCATCCATTTCGCTATTGCCAAACTACCTGGCGTCAGGACAATTCAAGTGGACGAATCTCAAGCTGTCGTCAGGTATACTTCATTCGTTTTTTTTTAAACCCATATTACTTCCAGACATTTCCGTAGCACTCACATCGAGCACATCTCAATGATTGGCAACTGGTCACTCAAGCCGATGGGTCTTTACTAAAAGTCACTAAACGACCACTGGAATCAGAATTTGCCGAAAAGTTGACAAATGCAATAATCAAACGGGTCCTAAATGTTTACGATAGAGTTCCAGTGAAATGTGACAGGATAGCACGATATCTATGGGAATCTCGAAATTTTCCAAATCCATGTGAATCTATGTCACCTGTGTTTTAATAGCTTTTCAATAGTTAATTTTTTTCTGTTTGTGATAATTTCTATGTACCAAAACATCATTTTTCATTACGAGTAAAAGTTTGTTATAATGAATTTGTTGTAAGTTGCATGGAACTATTCTGAACACTGATGACCTTAGTTTTCAAAAAAATTTTTCAAATTTCGTGATATTTCAAAACTGCGAAAATTTTTGAGAATCCGCAGCTGAGATAATCTGAACATATTTCAAGTTCAAAAATCCAAAGTTTTATTTAAAAAATGTATGTATTTCAAAGAAAAAATCTTATAAAAATTATAAAATTGGAAAACTTTCTTACTTCAGATAGAAATTCCAAACCCCAAAAATTTAAAGATTAAAATCTTAATGACAGTTTCTGATTGAATTTTTATTTCACAAAAAATTATGCTCTCGTAGAATTAGGAGTTGGAACATTTGTAATCTTATTATCATTTTGTTTTTTACAAAATATCAGTGAAAATAGAAATGATCGATATGGAAATTGGACTAAAAGAATACATAAACTACCGATTCTCATATGAAAAACTAATGGTAAAAATGTGAAATTATTTTTCGATTGATCGAATTTTTCTGAATTCGTATTAATTGGTAATAATGTTGACAGCGGATCCTCAGTCAGTCGAGACCGATTCTACGTCCTAACCCGAGAGTGTCTGCAACCTGAAATGACCCCCAATTCTCCCCAAATGTGTAAGATAAGCGGTGCAAAGGAAATAACAGTACACAAAGTATTCAAATCCAAGTTTATTAACGGAAAGGGATTTGAATAAACGGCAAAGACAATGGAATTGGGAAAAGAAAGCAAGAACAGAAAAGAAGTAAAGGTGTAGGGCTAAAACCTCCTGGGAGCTACCGGAGGAAACCTTGCTGCCTTCTAAAACTGGTGCTAACAAACCAAAACGATGCCAAACGTAGAAAACTAGCTGAAAGGCAAAAAAGGTTAAACGGGACCGCATAGCGGTCAGCTTGGTGAGATACGAACACTCGCTACGCCGCAGCGAAGACTGAGTAACGACGGGCGGCGGGCGCCAGTGCCGAGTGGCGCGGCGCGGTCGCTGCAACGCGGTCGTTGGCGCGTATTCAAATAATATTAATATTATTTGAGTGAAACAATGTACTTGTAATTAGAGAACGAAGAGAGATAAGAAGGGGAATGAACATGACCCGAATAAAGCGGATAATCCAGAGGGATTTTATGGGGAAAATCGGGAGACTCTGGGTTATCTCGCTTTCAGGTTGTCATTGTTCCAAGACAATGGGAAAAATTGACAACAAATAAAGCCAATGGAACCAAAACCAACAAAAATGGGATAGTTATTTGAAGAACAATTCCAAAAATTGAGCGAATCTGAAGACGTCGAGTGTCAGAAGACACTTGAGATGATTTCGCATAGAATAGATAGTGAAGACAGCAGACGGAAAAGAAAATTATTTGTAAAAAAATAATTCCATTAGAAATTAAATATGTCGTTTTTAAATAGGTAGACCAGAAACCGTCCGTCGGTAAAACGAGAATATTTTCGGTGAAGAAATATTTCGGAGGACATGGCAGGGTCTGAAAATTGGGCATTAAACTTCGACTTTTGGAATTCTAAAGTTTCAGAAATGTCAGATCTGTTAGTAAACCTAAAAAAATGCGACATTTGAGAAAGACAATTTTTTGAGAAGATGCTATCTCGGAAAATTTTTCAGACACCATCCCAAAATTTGTCAAAATTGAACTTTTCTATGCTCTATGCATTTTGGGCTTTTTCAGTACGGTAGCCTAACTTTTGCAAGTTGATAGTTACAGTGGTGAACGGCCTAGTAATGACCTGATATTCACCTGATTTTTGTATAGGGCAGTTACAATGGTGGCCTAGAAAACTAATCTTGCAAAAGTTAGCATGTTAAATGACCTAGAAAACAGATCAATTGAATGTTAGAAATGCATGTGTCTAGAATTTCTCAATTTTCAACATTTTTAAACTTTAAATTTTCGAAAATTCTAAAAATCAGAGTTTCAGAGTTTTCCTCATCTTCAAAAAAAAAATTCTGGCTTCATCGGTATCCGGGAAGTTGAAAAAAAGGGAATAAAAGGTCCCATACATCCAATAATGTTGGAAAATATTCACAAATACTTTGTGGAATTATTTTTGAATCGAAAAATATTATTGACAATTAAACTGCTCCGATTCTCAAATAGGATAAAAAATGCCAGCATCATCACTGAAATGTTCAGATATTTTCTGGGACTTTAAATTTTTTATGAAAAAAAAACCTACAAAAACTAGCCAAACGTTGAAGAAAGTAATTGACTTCCTTCGGAATTTTCAAATCACCCAAAACTCCAATGTAGAATAAAACTCTTTGCGGATAAAAAATGTATGGTGTCGACAAAAATGAATAAGAAACTCCACAAAATGTATACCAAAAATTTAAATTCAAAAGACTCAATTTCACAGAATCCATGATTTTTGGCGTCTTTTTGAGGATACAGAAAAATGTAAAAAACTGAATAGGTAGGGTAATTAGTATAATTACTCGGCAGGTGTAAACAAAACTTTCTTTGGATTCCAGAAATTTCGAAAAGCTCCCAGAAGAATTTTGACACAAAATCGAATAAACATTTTTGAAATATTCGCTTATTTGTTGAGACATTTTTGAAATTTCAGCGGTTTTCTGAAAGGTTTTTTTCACAGAATGTGTGAAAAAATTATGTGACCGGAACTATAGAAAATGTATCTGTCTAGCCAAATGAAAGAAAAACAAAAAAATGAGTACAAAGAGAACGCATGATTAGTTTTGAAGGAAATAATAGATGACGAAAGAAACAAAAATGATTGGGTATTTCAAATTTTTCAGAGATGAGTTTGAGTAAAAATTTAAGATTCTCAGATTTTAAGACTTGCAGAACCCTCAAATACTCTGAAAATCTTGAATTGATTTCCAGCTGAAAACTATTTTTAGTTTTCCAGATGAAAACTTGAAATTCTAATTTTTAAATCAACTCCGATGAACTTCAAATTATTCGGATATTTTGAGATTCCCAAAAAAAATTCTTAAAAATTATAATAATTGGAAAACTTTCTTACTTCAGATAGAAATTCCAAACCCAAAAAATTTAAAGATTCAAATCTTAATGACAGTTTCTGATTGAAATTTTTATTTCCCAGAAAAAAAAAGTTATGCTCTCATAGAATTTGAAGTTGGAACATTTGTAATCTTATTATCATTTTGTTTTTTACAAAATATCAGTGAAAATAGAAATGATCGATATCGAAAATGGACTTACCGATTCCCTTATGAAAAACTAATGGTAAAAATGTGAAATTATTTTTCGATTGATCGAATTTTTCTGAATTCGTATTAACTGTTAATAAAACCAATGGAACCAAAACCAACAAAAATGGAATAGTGATTTGGAGAACGATTCCAAAAAATGAGCGAATCTGAAGACGTCGAGTGTCAGAAGACACTTGAGATAATTTCGCATAGAAGAGATAGAAGACGCAGCAGACGGAAAAGAAAAGTATTTGTAAAAAAAATAATTCCATTAGAAATTAAATATGTGGCTTTTAAATAGGTGGACCAGAAACCGTCCGTCGGTAAAACGAGAATATTTTCGGTCAAGAAATATTTTGGAGGACATGGCAAAAACTAAAAATTAGAACATACAGTGACGAACGTTAGTGAGTGTACCTTTATACTTTTGTTCATAACTTTTCTCAAACTTCGATAATTGAAAACTTTTTTGTTAAATGTAGCTGGGTTTCCAACAAAACGTTGTATAGGTTTTTTAGAACTCACTCAATTTTTGTGTTTTCTGAATCTTCACAGACGTGACGATGACTCCAGAAGAAAAACATTTTTCCGTCAGAATTTTTTTTAAGTTTGGCTTTGTAATGAAAAATGTTTGACGTAGATCAAATATATACAGAAAAAAATTTGAAGCGGTTTGGATCACTTGCTCTTGAGATGTGCTCACTGTAGCATAAAAGGTATGGTTCTGGAGTTTGGCTATGACTCGGCTCAAAAATTATCCAAATTTGCTCAAATTTTGAGAGAATGTGTGGCTTTAATTGTTATACAAAATACATACAAAACTTTGTATTTTGAGAACAAAATTTTTTTTCATAAGTGCCTTCGGTAAATAAAAATGAAAGCTTATAAAAAAGTTTTATTCCCAAAATAC